TGGGCCAGAACCCATGTTGTTTTTCTAATGAGGAAAGAGTTTGGTCTAGTAGAAGCATAATATCCTTCCAGGCCAATTCAAAAGTTTGGATCACAGAGATAAAGGCTTGAATGTATTGGTCTGGGGCATCAGTATAGCTGCCCAGATCTTTTTTAATTTCCCTTAGATCTGATAGCTGGAAGGGGACATAGACTCGCCCTCTTCCTGCCATTGCCTGTTGAAGGGGGAAGCACCCAGTAGGAGGTTCTGAATATTGGCGTGGCTTAGGAGGTATGGCAGAGGGTGGAGCAGAAGGGGTGAGGGCCTTGTCATTGGTAAGGGACTTTTTGGTTCTCCTTCCCCATGTTTATTCTGTGACTTACAAAGAATGACCAGCATTTTGGGTATCTAAGCAGCAATTATGGAGCCATTCTGGGTGTTCTCGGAGATGAAGGAAAAGTTGTATGTAGGGTACCTCGATCCACTCTTTTTCCCTTTTACAGAAAAGGTCTAATTGGAGTAGGTATTGTAATTTAAGGAACCCTGTGAAGACCATTTCTCCTGGTCTTCTAAGGGATACTGAGGCCAAACCTCAGTACAAAGAAAGATGAGCGTTCTTTTTTTTTGAGGTTAGGGTCAAGATCCTTCCAATATTTCAGTAGACAGGCCAACAGAGACTGCTTGGATACTGAGGCCGGAGGACTGGAAGGGGCAGGTCCCATCTAGAAAGACAACAACAACAATGAACTGAATCAGTTCCCTTTTTATCAGCGTCCTGACTGGGAATGACCTTACTAATGAAACCAGGCATCCCTGTCTCATGACTTTCCCCACATTTGTGACCAGGATGGAAGAGAGTGAACTGGTCAGGTTAGGTCACCTGACCAACACAGTGAGGAAAGCTCTAGGATCCTGCCTTCTAGCTAACAGCAAGCAGCCTCCTTAATAAAGCCTACCCTTTTAAACAAAGGAATGTATCATCTGTAAAGTGAGAGAAGGGCATTTAGCATTTAGAGGGTGTCCCAGGGCAATAACAGTACCATAAGGGATGACTATTTGGAGGAAAAAAGTTTTTATGCTGAGGCCAAAAGTATAGAAAATTTTAAATGAGAAGCTTAGAGACCATAATAATGCCCATTTTGCTGTTTCTGAGACTATAACCTTGAGATAACAATTAGCTTACAAGGCCTGGGTCAGTCAGGCCCAAGGCATAAGGTGGGGCTGGGAACCAGGCTTGAGCAAAATGCTGCCGCTGCTGCCCCTTCTCATGCCCAGGATGAGCGATGCCATCCTGTGGCCTATAGCCCTCCCCCCACCTGTTCTTGTGTATGCGCGCCTGCGCACATTTGTTTTTCCTCTCATCCCTTTTTAGGGGGAGTAGTGGCGAGTTGTAGCCACCTCCATGTGTGGCTGGTGGCCTAGGATGTGCTGGGTACTCTCTATGGATTTTTTAGCTATGGCAGGCATTCTTGCTGTGCCCAGGGGCCAGCATCGCTGTGCACAAGTGCACCCATTTGTTTTCCCTCCTCACCTTGTGGGGGCAGTTAGAACATGAGCATGGCAACCACAGTTTTTTGTAAGTGCTTTTGCCCTGCTGGTGTCTAGCAGCTGACTTAAAGTTGTCTTGGACAGAGAGGCCTGGCAAACTAGTGTGGGTATAATCTAAGAAAGTCATAAGGTACCATGTTACAAGTTTTTCCTCATGGGCAGCCAGGATCCCAGTAAACCCAGGGAGGGGAAGGCAGACAGAGATAAAGGACAAGGCAGGACCAGGAAGGGAGCAGAACGGGTGTATTTTTCAAATTTGCTGAAGGAAGCCCACTGCTGTTTAGAACAAAAGGGGGAGGCCATTTATCCTGAACTGCTTGGGAAAGAGGAAGGAAAGGCTGAGGGTGGGGGGAAAAGAGAGTTTCTAGGCTCAACACATGAGGGATTTTTGGTCATCACTGCTGTCCAGGTCGATCCTGCCCAATAGCAGTACTGGAGCACTGGAAGCAAGGGATGACCTCCACTCTTGGGCCACGGAAACCATGAAGGAAGCATGAGAGATCTGATTGTTTGCCTCAGGCATGGCTGGAGGGGTCTGAGACTTAGCTGCTTTTGGAGCCTCAGGGTGGTCAGGAAGTTGCATCTACAGCCTTTGGGTGACACTGGGGAGTGCCCTGGCCAGAACACCTTTTTTGGCTTGAAGACAAACTTTCTTTTCCACTGGCTATTTTCAGACCTCCTCTTAAGTGGGTCAGATCTTGAAAGAGAGAGAGAGTTTAAGGAGAGGAAAAAAAGGCCTCGGTGCACTGAAGTTGGGCTCCACCCACATAGCACTGGCAGAGCGGTATAAATCCCCACCTGACATCTGAGTTCCCTCAGATTGCCTACCTTACAGCTGTAATGGGCTCGGAGCTTTTCTTCAGTTCCCCAAGGGAGAAATCCTCCTTAATAAGACAGAGAGAAAGAGAGAGAAAAAAAAGGTCAACCTGAGAGTTCCACTGTAGCTAGGCCATGGTGAGGGTGGTCTCTCCTGGAAAACAGACTCCATCGGAGTGCCAGACAAATCACAGTCATGTTCCTAGGCAGCCTTTCCCATTTTGGCACAACCTATACTGACCTTGGTTCAGAAGAGATTGGGTCCCTTCGTGGTCACCAAAATGTTATGTGCCAGTGTCAAAGTGTTGCAGGCCAGTGTCGAGGGTCCTTGCCTTCACAGGCCAGAGAACTGGCTTGTGAGGCAGCTGAATGATGAGCCAAAGCCAGTATATAAAATAGTTATTATTAGTGAGAAAGGAAAGGCTATAGCTAGAGTACTGCAGCGGAGCCTGGAAGCCGGTAACTCCCTGTTTAGGTGAAGGCTAGGGCTTTTTAAGGATGCTTTAACGCTGGGTTAGAGTATCAGTTAGGTGGGTTTCTCCTATTGGGCATGTATTTGCATGGGCCTCCTTAGATGAGCTGGTCTGTTTGCCCCTTATGGGGGGGAAAACAACATTGGGAGAATTTTGTTTATCAGTCCTGTAGCAGATTTGTGAGACCCTGTATCTCTTCCTGGCAGATTTGTGAGACCCTGTATCTCTTCCTCAGGGTGCAGGAATGCAGGTTTATAACTCCCTCTCAGGATGCAGGAATGTAGATTTATAACTCCTTCTCAGGGTGCAGGGCTCATGGGGCTCTCCATGAGGGATGGGCTACTTACTCATCTGCCTTAGGTATCCAGACCCAACACCTTCACTTTTGGGTTTGTGGGTGGGGAATGGGCAGAGGCCATCCAGCCTTCTCACTCCAGTCCCACCCCACTTCTATGTCCACCATCCTCCAAAACAAAATAAGGACTTGACTGGGCCACAGGGAGCCCATACACTTTGATGCAGCTCTGTTGGTCCAGCTTTTCTGTGTGCTAATAGTAAGGGAGGTCCAGATAGGCCTGGGACATTTCTTCAGATACTCTGCCTCCTGCCTTGATAGAATTTCAAGACCCCAGGGCTCCTTGGGGACAAAGGAGCGAGATTCAGCCTTCTGTGGGTATTCTGGACTGTGGTTTCCCAGGTTCTACCCCAGAAGCACGGTGGTGTGGGTGTTAATGCTCTTAGTCTCAGCATTAATTAATTTCTTTCCACCTCACAGGGAGATGTATTTTCTAGTAATTATGTTTGGAGAGGAAAGAGAGTTGAGCACAAGATCTGGTCTTTCATTTTAAAGAGAACATCCAATAAGAATTTTGCAAATATTTTCTCCCACTCAATCTAAAACTTATATTTTATTTATTCTTATTAGCATATAATGTTTGTACAAAATAATGGGTTTTCTTGAGGGTATTTTTTTTTGTAGCACTGGGGCTTGAACTCCTGGCCTGTGTTTGCTTGGCCAGCACTCTTATTGCTTGAGCCACTCCACCAGCTCAGATTTTGTTGTGAAATTTTCAAATCTGTCATTTATCTTGAACTGGACGCACACAAGTCTTACACATTCTTATACAGTCAAGTATACTGTTTTGCAAATTGTTAATCTTAACAATTTTTTGTTGTTGTTGCAGTATTGGGGTTGATCTCAGGTCCTACATCTTGAGCCACTCCACCAGACATTTTTTGTGATGGTTTTTCTCAAGATAGGGGCTTGCAAACTATTTCCCTGGGCTAGCTTCCAACTGTGATCCTCCTGAGTAGCTAGGATTACAGGCATGAGCCACGGTGTCTGGCTAATCTTAACAATTTAATATGCAGTTTTAATCAGCTCAGGCTAGTTTTCAAAGCATTAACAAATTAGAAGCTATTGGGAGCATACTGATCCTAGTAGGAGTGAGAAGTTAAAACTGATGTATGGATTTTTGAAAACAGGTATAAGAACCCAAGCCTTCTGTCTCTACATCCCACTTACCCAAACAGCCCAGGTGCAGCACCATGTAGTGAGATAATGATGGAGGAACTTTCATCTCTATGATGTCTATTTAGGAAGCAAAGAAGAACAGCTTTAGAGTTCCATAAGCAATTATTAGAATCAAGTTTTAGCCCTTGAAGGGCACATACCAGATAACCGGATAATGAGATGTACAAGATCCATCTCACCATCAAAGAGAGGTTATGGAGTCAGATACCATCAACTTTTATTGAGTTCCTACAGGGTGCCAGGCTTTGAGCTAAGTGCTTTTTCACATGGTCCCTTTGATTTTTATAAATAATTTATGTATTCATGTTAAGTTAAATCTTACCTTGTAAAATGTAACTAGGTTAAGTCATGATAACATGTGTATAGTCAATAAAGGAAGTGTTTCCCTCCAAATCCAGGCCCTGCTCTGATTCATGTGAAGCGGGGATAGTCAGGGAAGTGCTACACCTCTTCACTGGGCAAGAAATCAGAAATCAGGTTTCAAAGAGGTTGAGTGATATGTCTCCAGTCACATGGCTAGGACACAATAGAATTCACCTGAAGCTCAGATTGCTGAGTCTGTCTGGAGTTTCCACGTGCTTGTGCCTTACAGCAGTAACACACACATTTTGAGGGTTTTTAAATTGTGATTTATGATTGTTAATTCCCAGGTGCCTCTTGGCTTTGGTGTGGCTGCCAGTGTCCGAGTGGGTAACGCTCTGGGGGCAGGGAATGCTGAGCAGGCCTGGTGCTCCTGTACCACTGTTGTCCTGTGTGCTGGTGAGCAAAACCCTCTACTCCCTGGCATCCATGCTGAATGTAGTGTGACAAGTTAAAATTGACATGTCAAAATTTCTGTAGGAATTGGGTCACATGCTTATACTAAAAAAAAAAAAAAAACCTTTATTCTTTATGCTCTTTCAAATTTACTGAGATAAATTAGTCATAATTTTTTTCTGTTTACCAAGTAAACAATACTGCACTTGGTACTGCTGAAATAATTTAAGGCAATTATTACCTTATTTTATGACCATAGTCAGGGTAACCAGTTCTTCATACTCTGGACCACAGTATCTGCTTGCAGTTTTAATGTCTTGGAATCTGAAAGTAACAAAAGATTCCGATGTATTCATGTCTTAGTCTGTTTGTGCTGCTGTAACAGAATACCCAAGGTGGGTAATTTATAAAAAAAAAAACCAAATTGGTTTCTCACAGCTCTAGAGGCTGAGAAATCCAAGATCAAGGAATCAGCAGGTTTGTCTGTCTGATGAGGGCCACTCTGGGCTCCAAGATGATGGCTTAATACTGCCTCCTCCTGAAGGAAGAAGCAGTGTGTCTTCACATGGCAGAAGTGAGGGAAGAACAAAAAGGGGACCAAACTCCCTTGTCAAGCCCTTTTATAAAGGCTCCTAATTCCATACATGAGAGAAGAGCCCTCATGGTTCAACCACCTCCCAGTGCTGCTGTGCTGGAGATTAAATTCCACCTGAATTTTAGTTCAAACTATAACAATTGACATGTTATTAAGGATCTTTTCTATGAGTGTCCTTCAGAAAAAGAAGTCAGAATCACCAGATCTTAGTTGTCCTTTTCATGAACAATAAAAAGAAACACTACTTACATTACAGCCTTTCTTTTGAGATGAGGCCTCACTATGTTGCCCAGACTGGTCTCAAACTTGTGGACTCAAGTGATCCCCCTGCCTCAGCCTCCCAAGTAGCTGGGACAACAGGTTCCACATTATTCTAGGCTACATTATTACATTTCCTAAATGACTGATGCAAGTCTTTCATGAGCCAGCCGTGCGATCTGTTATGCTCTGGAGAACGGTCATTGCCTCTTGCTCCTTCTGTGTGTTCCAGGCATTTGCGCGTTAGCCGTGGGAGTTCTCCTTGCAGCTCTGAAGGATGTGGTCGCTTACATATTCACCAGTGACAAGTAGGTACTCACTAAGAAATCGGGCTTTACTTTTGTGCTCTTTCTTCACTATATTCTTCTGACTATGAGAGGAGGTGGCATTTTACATTAGAGGAAAGCCTGTAGTGCAGCCAGGAATGAGAGGCACAGTATGGAATTTGAAGGAGTTTGAATGAAGAAAGCCCATGAAAATCACTCCACCTTTCCTTTACTCATCACACCAATGTTGCCAGAGATATACAGAAATAGCACACAGAATGTCCCCATCCCCAGAGAGACACTTCACAGTCCAGGGCACGCTCACAGCATCCACACTCGGGGCAGTACTAGCAAAAATTACTGATTCAATCTTACACCAAATTTTATTGTATTTTCTATAACAACATCTTTGCATAATTATTTAGGTGTAATAAAGTATCTTTTGAATTAAAAAAATCTTCATGGACAAGGAACATAGCTTGGTGGTAGAACATTTATCTAGCATGCATGAAGTCCTGAGTTTGATCCCCACCACCACACACACACAAAAAATTCACAAAAATGCTTTGGTAATTTGTACCAGCTGCCTCAGGTTCATAGGAAGAAACTCAGGTTTATTCTTTTCAAGTCATGCTCCTGAGTTTCCTCTGACCTCATTGGTTTTAGACAAATGCCCAAACATATTCTTAGAAAATCTTAGGTCTGAGAGTAATAGAGACCAGATTTACCTTCTTGCCTTAAACAACTAAAAACTAGACCAAAAAAAAATGGTATTTTTAAAATAGTTTTGGATAGTAGGCAAAATGGGACAGTGATCCCTGAAAGGGGTTGACAGGAAGAGTACTCATGATGCCCCAGCTTACTGGGAGAGAGTTTCCAGGCCAGAGAGAGGGAACCTTGGCAAAGCCCCCCCCCCACCCCCGTTCTCCTGGGCTGAGGAAATGGAGTTGGAGTGGCTAGAGTTCACAAAGCAGAGTGCCCTGGAGGGAGGAGAGCACACTGTCCCAATCCACAGAAGGCCTCCCTCCAATCTCTAAGCCCACGACTGAGCTGTGCATGTGTGGCTCAGAAGGGAGAAGGCAGAACAATTGCTGAAGTTTATAAAGGCCTAGAAAGAGCTTAACTATAGCCTAGAACTTAACCACATCAAAGCTTTAAAAGGTTATTTAAAATAATAAAAGAATATGCAGTACCCAACAAAGTAAAATTCACAATGTCTGACATATGATTAAAAATGATCAGGCATACAAAGTAGCAAGAAACTAAAATCCTTGCCCTGTGCAGGTGGCTCAGCCTGTAATCCTGGCTACTCAGGAGACAGAGTTTGAAGCCAGCCTGGGCAAATAGTTCACAAGACCCTATCTCGAAAATACCCAACACAAAAAAGGGCTGGTGGAGTGGCTCAAGTGGTAAAGTGCAAGTGTGAGGTCCTGAGTTTAAGCCCCAGTACCACAAAAAAAAAGAAACAAACTAAAATCCATAATAAAAAGAGACATCAATCAATTGAAAGTGACCCAGAAATGAAATAGAGGATAGAATTAGTACACAAGGATATCAGAGCAGTTTCTGTAATTATGATTCATATTTTCAAGGAGGTGGAGAAAACATGACTTTAGCTAGGCATCAAAGATATCAAAACAAAATTGAACTTCTAAAGATGAAAGATGTCTGAGACAAAGTTATATTGAAATGACATTAGACACCGTAGAAGGAAAGATTAGTGAATGTAAAGATTTGGCTGTAGTAGATATCCTAAATGACCTGAGGAGAGGAAAAGACTGGGGAAAAAGAAAACAGAAAAGATAGTGTATCAACAAGCTGTGCATAGCCCTAGGATTAAAGGGGTCTGAGAGGATATTTGGTGTAATCGTCCACCTGACACTGGGACTCCTCCAGAAGACCTTTGCCAGGTCGAGCAGTTTATGCTTTCCCAACTAGAGAAGAACTTGCCACCTCCCAAGGCAGTGTGGAGTCCCAGGACACCTTCCTCACTTTGAGCTGAAATCTTTCCTTCCCTCTCAAAGCTCTCACCCACTAACACCAGGCGTCATGCTGTGATCCTATAGGAGTCTGTCCTTTTCCCAAGTTACAGGGAACTCATGCCCTGCAGGGTCTTTTCTCTTCTTCTTGGTAAACATCATAATTCTTTCAGCTATTTCTTGTGGAATATGATTTTGAGTCTCGACCATCTTGGATTCACATGAACCTGAAGACTGTGCTCATAGGCCTTATCACACTATTTAGAGCAGCCCTGTGTCTCTTCACCTCACTCGACACACTTCTAGTGGTAGCTACGCCAAACTAAGTCATTTGAGCGACACCACTATGCCACAACATCCTCACCATTCCTTTCTGCAGTTGACTAAGTACAGAATCCAACTATGGACCTGATAATCTTTGGTTCCTTGTTTTTTTACTCATCTTCACATTTTTGTTTATAAGTTCTGTCGGTGATAGCATTTGCTTCTTCTTCCAGCTTCTGCCATATGTGCATGCCTTTCCTACCAAGTTTTTGTGGTTAAAATTACTTGTCCCAATGCCACCCATTGCCGGTGAGTGTTTATAACAAACATCCCTCAGAAATCAACTTCCACAATGGACAGGCTTGAATCATGTGAAATAAAGGTAGCCTTCCAAGTAGGGTTTTCTAGGAAACCACTAGATATGTGGCCTGTCAGGGAAGTAATAACTGTTCTTTGGGAATGTGGCCTTGAGTAAACCGGTTCTTCTTACTCAAGTTCTAGAACCTGGGCTGTCATCGTCCAAGGTTACCACGGGAGAAACAAGGAAATGATATTAGGATAAGTTAAAACGCTACAAAGCTTGTTATCATCAGGATTCAGCCCCTCTTCTTGAATAAGTGGCTCCTCTGTCACTGCAAGCCCTCAGTTAATGTTCAGAGTTCTGAAAGCATCAGCTGACAGATTTGCTAATTTCTGACAATGTGCTTGTTTCCTGTGAATGTGCCATAGCTTGCTGTCTCTTTGAATGTATCTCTCTGTAATTTTTTTTTAATGAGAGCTGGACATCTGGAATATTGTAATATGGTATCAATGAAAATCTGATTCTCCTCCCTCCCGAGGCCTGTCCTTATTCTTGCTCATTGAGGGCTCCAGTCATCCATTGATTTAGTAGACTTTCCAAGCTAGTTTTTGCAAACTAGAGAGTTCCTGAAATGCTTGGATCCAATAGAAAGGTTTTCTTGGTTTGGTTTTTTCAAAGTTCTTTTTCCTTAGATTCTTTGACAGGCACTGCCTGAGAAGCCACATCAACCCCAAGGGCCTCTGTGCCAACCCCTTGGTGGAATCCTGGTAGATCAAAACACATGACTGATTTTTGGAGAACAAGGTTTTCATTGCCCAACCCAGTTCTAGTGAGCCACACAGGTTGGGCCACCAACCCTGCAGCTTCCTGCCCTTGGACTGGGAGGTAGAAAAACATAGCTGCTATGAGAAATACCAAAAATCACCACTACTCACCAGCCTTTCTTCATCAGATGCTCCCCTTATTGCACATGTTTGTGACCAACTCCAGAATTCAAGACTTGTTTGCTTCTGACATTTCTCTCCGGCTCAGTGGGTGCCTTGTGAAGAGTCTGACTTTGAGCTTCCTATTCTGCCATCTTTCATGACATCACTGGAATACTCTCTGGGAGTCTCTCAGATATTATTCTGCCCTTGTGCTTATATGTAGGTGAATCTTTCTTCTGTTATTCTGCTTGCCACTTTGTAGTCTGAACGTCTACAACAATCTGCAAGCATTGCATTTTCCTTTAGCTCTAGGAAATTTACCCCTTTAAAAAAGATTTACTTCCTTCTGTACATTTTTCGTTTCTCTCCTTTTGGATGTTTTGGGGGTTTTGGTAGTACTGGGGTTTGAACTCAGGGCCTTACACTTCCCAGGCAAGCACTCCAGCACCTGAGCTACACCTATAGCCCTTTTTGCTTTAGTTTATTTTTCAGATAAAGTCTCATCCTTTTACCCAGGCCAGCCTCAAACTAGGATCCTCTTACCTAGGCCTCCTGCATAGCTGTTTTTTGAGTTAGATCTCCCAGGGTGGCCTTAAACCATGATGTATCTCCACCTCCCATGTAGCTGGGATTGCAGGCATGAGCCACTAAACCCAGCTGGAATTCTTTTTAGATAATAATAGAATTTACGGATTATCTTGACACATTTCTTTTCTCTCATCTCTGTATCTTTGCATTTTGAGACATGTCCTCAACTTTATCTTCCAAGTTGAAATTTCATCTTTGCCATGACCATTCATCAGCTGGTCATTCATCAAACCACTCTATTTTAATGCTCACATGTTTCATCTCCAACCACTAGTTCCCAATTGCTCCCTTAATTACTTCATGCTAGCTTATGAATGTGTCTGAGAATAGTAATTATAATTTAAAAAACTTTCCCCTATGTTCCTTGTATTATTTCTGCTTCTTTTGTGTGTCAGCGTGCTTATTTTGGTCTTTTTTTTTAGAGATAAGTACTCTCTATGTAGCCCAGGCTGGCCTCAAACTCACAATCTTCCTGCAACAGACTCCTAAGTGCTGGGATCACATATGTGGGTCACCATGCCTGGCTTTGTTTGTTTGTTTGTGTGGTTGATTTTCTTCAGTGTCTGGGGAGCCCTGGTTCCATGTTGGTTAACAGAGGTATTGTAAACCTCAAATGAGTATAGTCTCATGGGTCTGTCCCAAAGAGTCAGTCCTCTGAGTGAGAGGGCTGACTGCAGGCTCTATCTATATTGGTGGCTCTGGTGACCAGCAGGCTTCCTTTGAGGGTGCAAGGAAGGGGAGCAGGAAGTCTCCTCTCTTGGGGGAGGGGCACTGTGGCCTGTTCCATGGTTTGCATCCACACTGGGTCCACTGAGCAGATATTCAGTCACCTCTGCCCGTGCTGTGTCCCCTCAGCACCCCGCCCCACTCTGCAGGCCTCTCAGGTAAGTCTTCCATAATTGAACAGGGCTTAGGGATCCCTGAGAAGGTAAATGTGTCCTATGTGAACACTCGCTTTCAACTCCATTTTGAGGAAGACTCCCTTACAACAGACCTGGATTCCCACACATAGGCTGAGCCCTGCTTCCATTTCTTCTCAGCAGCCACATTTGTCACTTGTAATGGAGCTTTAAGAATTATCATCTAAGCCAGTCACTGGGGGCTCACGCCTGTAATCCTAGCTACTCAGGAGGCAGAGATCAGGAGGATCAAGATATGAAGCCAGCCCGGGCAAATAGTTCACGAGACCCTATCTCAAAAACCCTTCACAAAAATAGGACTGGTGGAGTGGCTCAAGATGAAGGTCCTGAGTTCAAGCCCCAGTATTGACCAAAAAAAAAAGAATTATCCTCTAAGCCAGGTGTGGTGGCACATGTCTGTGCTCCCAGCACTTGAGAGGCTGAGGCAGGAGGATTAAAAGTTCAAGCCCAGCCTGGGTTACATAGCAAGAACCTGTTACCCCACCCCACTAAATAAATTATCCTCTGTAGGTCTAGTAGTGCCAACCTAGACCATGTCCCTTTTAATTCTGTGTAGTAATAAAATTTGAATTAGTTTGGTTTATTGTGTACTTAACTTGTTGAAAAGACATGCGCTTGGACTAAATTGTCAGGTTTGTGATTTTCAGGTCACTGACTACTTTCTTTTCCTCCAACAGGGACATTATTTCTCTTGTGAGCCAAGTGATGCCTATTTTTGCTCCCTTTCATCTGTTTGATGCACTTGCAGTGAGTATTCAGAGAGATTTTATTCTGATACACATAGCAAATGTGTTTTGTGTTTCTAGTTTTTTAATTAAAAATTGAACGTGATTTCACTTTTTAGAAAAGTGAGCTCTTGCTTCAGGCAGCTTGAGCTATTTGAGGGAGAGATGAGTTACTGAAGAGTATGGCCTCTCAAGGTGGGAGAGACTGAATTCTCCACCTTCTCTGACTTCCTCTGGTGCCCAAATGCCCCAAATGATGTCCTGACCAGGTGGCAAGGTGACCTGTGCTGGAATCTTCCCAGGCATGCCAGTAGTCTGACTACTAGAAGGGCTCTTGCTAGGCTGGTGTTCTGTGGATTCACTTGCACTTGAAGGTCCGTTGGTTTCGCTCCAGAATCATTCCTGCAGACTTACTCCCAGTTTGAGCAAGTATTCTTCATGACACATTTCTACGCCCATTTGTCATCTTTCTTTTCTTCCCATGGAATTTCTTCCACTTTCTTCAGACATTAGTCTGATTGAATATAGGCAGTGGTAAGAACAGTGTGGAAGAGAAGCCCACAACTGTGATAATATTTTTCAGGTATAATTTCAGACTAATTTCTACTGAGATTCCAAAAATGAAAGCCTTAATTCTTTTTTAAACATATGCTTTTGAAAAATATTTTTTAAATTGTTGAGATAGAGATTTGAGTAATGTTACCCAATGGTTTTCTGATGGAAGCTGCTCTACTTTTGTTCTTATTGTCAGTATTACTTCAGAAGCAAAATGTTTTCCTTTATCTGTTACATAATGTGCTATGTCCTCTTTGAACAGAGCTATCTGACCATACCCAGATGCATGAGCTATTAACTTGATATGATGAGAACTGCATGACTACAGCATTGGTGTTTGCTTTCCTCTCCTCAGGGCACTTGTGGTGGAGTCCTGAGAGGTACAGGGAAACAAAAGATTGGCGCCATCTTGAATGCCATTGGTTACTATGTGTTTGGTTTTCCCATTGGAGTATCTCTGATGTTTGCTGCTAAACTTGGGATAATAGGTATGTGTTTGATTCCTCAGGGACTTGCCTCAACATATAATTGTCATACTAAGAAACTGCTTAATACCAGAGAGAGACCTGAACATCCATGTTTACTGCAGCTCAATTCTCAATAGCCAAGTTATGATAGCCTAGGTGTCTGTCAACAGATGAATGGGTAAAGAAAATGTGGCATATATACACAGTGGAGTTTTATTTAGCCATAAAGATGATCAAAAGTATGTCATCTACAGGAAGATGAACGGAACTGGAAATCATCATGAGAAATGAAATAAGCCAGATTCACACAAATACCACGTTTTCTCTTATTTGTAGAATTTAGATTTTTTTTTTAAAAAAGGGGACATAAAACTAAGAGGGGAACTATTTGAGAAGAGGAAGAAGGGGACCAGTGGGGGGAGGGGAGACAAAAGAGGATGATGAGGGGTGAATGTGATCAAAGTACATTAGATGTATGTATGAAAGTGTCATGATGAAACCCATTAAGATGTACAAAAAATAAATTTAAAAATTATAAAAAGATAAATTGCTTGAGATATAAAGCGGTTGGCTACAAAGCCAATTTTTCCTGTGGAATAGGAAAAATTATTTTCTCCTGCAGTATGTATTCAGTGTCTCTGCTGGCAAACACACTGGGAATGCAGCATTGAACAAAATAAACATGGTCCTGTCCTGGGGATGAGACCAGGATTAAATAGTTAATTAGATAACTAGTCAATCTAGTCAATTACTGTTGGGTTAAGCCATACAAAAGAGGTGATCAGGGCCTATGTTGTAAGGAACATCTAAGCCCCACTGGCTTCCCAGGACAGTCCCTACATAATGTGTTAGCTCAGGCTTGAAACACAGGTAGAACTGCCTAGATGAAATATGAAGCATTTGTTGAAAAGACTGCTCTTTCTCCACTGAGTGGTCTTGGCAACCTTGTTGAAAATCAGTTAGCCACAGAAGTATGGTCTTATTTCTGGGCTGTCCCATCTATTCCATTGATCTATGTCTGTCCTTATGCCAGGACTCTGCCTTGATTATTGAAACTTTCTAGTAAGTTTTAGAATCAGGAAGTGTGAATCATCCAACTTTGTTCTTGCTGTTTGGTGCCCCTTGTAATTCCATGTAAATTTGAGGACCAGCTTTTCTGTTTCTGTAAGAAAGGCCATTGGCATTTTTATCAGAGTTGCATTGAATTTGTAGATTTGTTTACAAAGTATTGCTATCTTAACAACGTTAAGCCTTCTAATCCATGAACGTGGATTACCTTTCCATTATTTAGGTCTTTAATTTCTTACAGTAATGTTTTATAGTTTGAAATGTATAACTTTCACTTTGTTAAATTTATTCTTGGGTATTATATTCTTTACACGTTGTTCCTGGTGTATTAAGACTTAAGTTATTTTTGTGTATTGTTCTTCTACTTGAGACTTTACTAAATTCATGTATTACCACTAGCTTTTTTTTTTTTTTTTTTTTTTTTGGTGGAGAGTCTATCTATAAGATTGTGTCATCAGTAAACATAGTTTTACTCCTTTTCCAATTTTTGTGCCTTTTGTTTCCTTTTCTTGCTTTTTTACAATAAGATTTTAACAATTTTTGTCACTCTCCAGTATTTTTATTTTCAATGTAAAATAATATAATAACTAAAATTTACAGAGTATGAGATAACATTCATAAAGAGCTTTTGCCAAAATTATGCTAGTCTTTTTATGTGCACTATGTCATTTAAATTTATGACAACTAAATAAAGAATCCCATTAGTTCATTTTTATGCATAAAAAATCTAAAATCTGAAGAGTTAAGTAATTTGATTAAGGTTCCATAGATAGTAAGGGGTGAGGCAGGATTTGAACTAAGGTGGTTTAATTCCAGAGATATACTTATTACTGCTGTATGTTGTCTTCTTGTTTGGATTTTGCAATTTCCTTATTCACTCAACAAACCTTCACTGAGTATGCCAGGCCCTGTGCTGTGTTAGATTCTGGGAATATATCAATAATAAATAAGTGAGGTTCCTGTCTTTGCTGAGTTAATACTCTGCTCTGAGTTTTCAATCCTCTCTCATCCTTTGGCACCTTTTCCACTTTCTGCTCTTGAAATGTTGGCCTTCAGCAGGGGCCAGGAGATGGCAGTGCTTCTGCTCCCCTGTTCTTAGATTTGACAACAAAAGGGAAGGTGTCTTCGTATGTTTTTTTCCTTGTGTTTTTGATCGATTGGTTGCCATTAATAGCTCAGTGTTATACTTGAGTCTAATCCCTGGCCACTACTTACCTAAAATTTTAGGAAAGTTCATTTAAAATCTGTGGATTATTAGGGAAGAATTTTAATGACCATGGGAACAGAACTGAAGAAAATGTAAACTCTGATTCTTATTTAACACCACAGGTCTCTGGTCTGGATTGATAGTCTGTGTCTTCTTTCAAGCCCTATTCTATTTGGTGTATATTCTGAGGACAAACTGGAATAGAGTTGCAAAGCAGGTAACAGTGTGTGTCATTTTAAAATATGGTGTGACTATATATACATATGTATATATGCATATATACATATATATCCCATATCTTACTACAAAGCAGTGTAATAAGTGTCTGTGACGGGTGGGAGGTACATTAGGAGTGGAACAATGTATGGGCCAAGGGTCAGGATCTTGACTGATGTGAGTGTCTGTGGAGTGAGGTGGGAGTTCTTCTTATCATGTTGAGCTTGAACGAGAATGGGTGGGTAGTTGACTCACAGGAGGGTTCCTACAAGAGATACGAGCATGAGTTTAAGTTGTACCAGCTGTCACTGCCCCAGCTCTGAGCACCCTTTAGGTCTCTAATGCCTTTGTACTCGCCTGTACTGATGCATTATATCTTTCTTAAGTTCAGGTTGATTTGTTGAGAAAATAGAGTAAACAGGACGTTAAGTTGGATCATAAACTAACCTTTAGATGGTGACACCATTTATCTTTAGATTTTCTTCCTTTCATCTGTGTTTAGGAACACTAAAGGGCACAAGTGCAAACAATATATAAACTCTGAACCTACTATAGTCGGGTGCCGGTGATCCATCTGTAATTCCTAACTACTCAGGAGCAGAGATCAAGAGGATCTCGGTTCGAAGCCAGCCCAGGCAAATAGCTCACAAGATCCTATCTCAAAAAACCCTTCACAAAAATAGGACTGGTGAAGTCTCAAGTTCAAGCCCCAGTATCACAAAAAAAATTAATAATAATCTGAGCGTACCCCCATAAGCAGCTTTTTCTCTTGTTATTTTGCGTGATCTTTTGGCCTGTGGCATTTTAAGGACCCAGAAAGGCTGTGCTAGATTTATAACTTTCAGCAATAGTTTTTTTACATTGAAGTTTTTTGGGGAACTAGGGTTTGAACTCAGTGCTCTACCTCTTGAGCCACACCTCCAGTCCATTTTGCTCTGTCCATTTTGTGATGAAGTCTTGAGAACTATTTACCCAGGCTGGCCTTGAACCATGATCCTCTCAATTTCAGGCTGTAATCGATTTCAGGATTACAGGTGTGAGTCACCAATTCCAGGCTACATTTGATGATTTAGCAATATCTACCAGCTTAACTTGATTTATACTTCATTTACTCATGTGATTTTGTTTTTAGGCACAGGTTCGAGCTGGGCTAAAAGGCAATAGAGAGACCATACCTACTCCAGCAGGTAACCAAGGCCATTTTCTCGTATACTTGGCCAATTTCTACCTCACGAACACTGAAATTTAATGTGGCCAGAGTTGTTTAGTTTATGAGATCCTGCTCTCTTGCTCAGTAAAATTTGTCTCAGCCATAATCAGACAAATCAACTCTGAGCTGTCCTATGAAATGTTTTTTAATGTGATTTCACATATACTAACTGATGATCAATGGTCATTTTTTATAATATATTCTCCTGTAAACCTCAATACCCTCTTAACTCACTATATCAGTAAGTGCCGACTGTTCTCTGCTAACAGATCTGCCTATCCTGGAAAGAGAAGCAATTGATGGCGTGATTTTACCTGATATCATCAGACCGGAGAGCCAGACCGTGCAATTGATGGTACTAGATGAAAGCAACCAGTATGCAGTGCCCACCATTGGGGATGTCTTGACAGTGAGACAGTTGATTTTCTATCGTGGAATGGCTTTAGCTGTTGCCATTGCTGTCCTGGTAGCAGGAATTTTAGTAAGAGTTTTCAATGACCGTGGCTGAAGTAGAATTATCATCAGTCTGCAAACTATAGATGATAACGATATATTAAGCATGGAAGGTGAGCTTATTATTTGGACGGTGGTTCCACTCTCAACTATGGGTGGAAAGGTTATCAGTGACGTATCCTTGGTTATTCCAAGACACTGCACATCATATTGGAGATCAAGAAAGGAGTTATATATACTTGCCTAGCATGCATGAGGCCCTTGGTTCAATCTTCAGCACAGAAAAGGGAAGAAAGGAAGGAAAAGAGAGAGGGAGGAAGGAAGGAAGAAAAGAGTGTTAAAAAAAAAAAAAAACAGCCTTGTTTGGGAACTAGGGATTGAACCCAGCACCTCACCCATGCTAAGTAAGTGCTGTACCACTGAGCCACGTCCCCAGCCCCAAGCACCTATAATTTTAAGTAAACGTTTCTCTGTTAATTTTATCATGGTTTCTAAATACGTAAATTTGATTTTCCCTACTGTAAGTGTCATTTGCTTTCTTGTATTGAACATCCTTCTTTCAGGAGAGTGGTTCATTGTATAAAATATATTGCTGGTCTCATTTGTTTGCGTTGCTCTGCTGATATTCTTCATCCCGACAATGGGTAATGATGTAAGTCTTGCTCCAGTCCTTTCTCAGGTATCATACAAGCATCCATAAAATAAACACCTTAAAATTTAAAATGTATGCTGACAATGTCTGGAGCTATAATGTTAATATAAAAGTTATTTTTTGTCTTTTAATAAAATTTTATGGCAATTTTTATATTAATTAGAAAATAAATCTTTGTTCTTTGCTACTCATCTCCCACAGTGCTGACAGCTATGGTTTCACCTTCCAGAAAAAGATTTTTAGAGGTCACTTCAAAAAAATCTGACCAAAACCAAAAGAAATCCTGGGGGAAAAAAAAACCTAATTCTGGGTATTCCCAAACATAAGGCCCTAGTGTGGAGCTCACAGTTTCAAAGCCCTGCGTCAGTCAGCTTTCCCTTGCTGTAATAGATTCCTGAGAATAGCAACATAGAAAGAGGAAAGGTTT